CCCCGCCCCCGCCCCCGCCCGGTTCGCAGGTGCAGACCAACCCCCGGGATGGCGGAAGCGCACCAGGCCGTGGCCTTCCAGTTCACCGTGACCCCGGACGGGGTGGACTTCCGGCTCAGTCGGGAGGCCCTGAAACACATCTACTTGTCCGGGATCAACTCCTGGAAGAAACGCTTGATTCGCATGAAGGTGGGCGCCAGTTCTCTCCACCTCTCTCTCGCAGCAAGAGTGTGGGGATCAGCTGTTGCCCATTGACGGGTTACCGTTTCTGCTCGCAGTGCTGCTAGGTAGAGGTGCCAGCAGGGCAGAAACCAGAGGGGGAGATCGAAGTGTGGTGGGAAACAGTAATGGCGTGCGGGAGGCCTTTGCCAGGACTCTAGGATGTCTGATTACCTCAGCTTCCTGCTTCACAAGAGTTCCTGTTTCTGCTCCACAGAATGGCATTCTTAGGGGTGTGTACCCTGGCAGCCCCACCAGCTGGCTGGTCGTTGTCATGACAACAGTGGGCTTCTCCTACTGCAAAGTGGACATCTCTTTGGGGTTGGTCTGTTGTATCCAGAGATGCCTCCCTGAGAGGTAAGAAGCTGGGAGAGCGCAAGAGTCATGCAGAGTGGGGAGGCCAGGCCAGCTCTCAAGGCCAGATACGGGGCGGCAGCCACTGGTGGCCACAAGGGCAGCCTTCCCCCAGGGCTATCATCATCCCAGTCCCACATTAATTGGTACTTGATGACTCAAAAGACCTGAGTATGCCCGGAGAGGTTCTTGCCCCTCAGTGCCTCCCCAGAGACAGTTCAGAAACATCAATTGCAGAGTCAGAATTAACCCCAAGACACTGGGTCTGGTGGCTCACACTTCTAATCCCAACAGTTGGGAGGCTGAACCAGGAGGATTGCCATGAGTTCAAGGCCAGCCTGGACTATATAGTGAGCTCAAGGTGAGCCTGAACTACATGGTGAGCCCCTGTGTCAAAACACATACATACATACATACATACATACATAAATAAAGGACTGGAGATGTAGCTCAGTATAATGACCCTGGGTTCAATCCCTAGTATTGGAGAGAGAGAGAGAGGGAGGGAGGGAGGGGGAGAGAGAGAGAATTCCCCCAAGGCTGGCCCCAAGGGGACCCCTGCAGACCTCCCTCCTTCTCGCATAGGTGTGGCCCCTACCAGACCCCACAGACCCGGGAACTTCTCAGCATGGCTGTCTTCTCCACCGGGGTCTGGGTGACAGGCATCTTCTTATTCCGCCAAACCCTGAAGCTGCTGCTTTCCTACCATGGGTGGATGTTTGAGATGCACGGCAAGGCCAGCCGCTTCACCAAGATCTGGGCTGTGAGCAGAAGCACTGGAGGGTGCAGGCATCTGACTTTCCCTCAGGGCTTCACTTGGGGTTCTGAGTAGGAGAGGATAGACAGACTGAGTGCTGGTGCCTAGTGCTTGGGTTTGTCCTAAAAGGGGCTAGCATGGTTCTGAGGGTCTCAGTCATTTTCTGGTTTGTGTCTATTCTTCCTGCTGGCTTCCACTCTAAAACTGTGCCTTGTACCCCTAGATCTGTGTCCGCCTTCTCTCCAGCCAGCGGCCCATGCTTTACAGCTTCCAGACGTCTCTACCCAAGCTTCCTGTGCCCAGTGTACCAGCCACAATTCAGAGGGTGAGGGCCTGGGTTCCGCTGGACATGGGAGGCTAAATTCAGAGGACTTGTCTAAACACAGGTGTCAGTTGCCTGTAAATAGTGAGCTTGAGACTGATGGGGCTGGGGTGAGGAGACAGAGGTGGGGAAAAGGTTAAGACTAGGGCAGCTAAGAGTATCTGGCACCATGGTAATCACCACTTGGCTGGACAGTACCTGGAGTCTGTGCGGCCCTTATTGGATGATGAGGAATATTACCGCATGGAGACACTGGCCAGAGAATTCCAGGACGAGACTGCCCCCAGGCTGCAGAAGTACCTGATACTCAAGTCATGGTGGGCAACTAACTATGTAAGTTTGCCCCCTGGGCTTCACCTCACCCACATGCCCTGGCTGCCTGCTCCCTACTTCTAACTTTCCACCTACCCACAGGTGAGCGACTGGTGGGAAGAGTATGTCTACCTCAGAGGCAGAAGCCCACTCATGGTGAACAGCAACTATTATGTCATGGTAAGAGCCAGAGCCTCTTTGTGCTCTTGTGTGTGCTCACTGTGTTCTCAGCTGGGGCAAAGACGGCCCAGAGCCCTGGTGGCAGTTTCTATAGGTGAGTGGGTGCTATGGAGTGAGGTCTGAGGCAAAAGGAAGAGGAAGAGTAGTCCAGAAGCAGCTTAGGGACAGTGAAGATCCTCAGGACAAGGAGAACTCCAAGACCCATGGCCTGTCACCACCTCTCAAAATCTCTCAGAAGTTGCTGTACTGCCCAGCTCAGATTGTATCACTTCCTTCCTTGGTTCCCTCGTTGGCATCCCAGTTATAAGTTTCCATCTAGAGCCAGGTGTGGTGGTGCATGCCTGTAATCCCAGCACAGGAGAATCATTGCGAGTTCAAGTCTAGCCTGGGCTACAAAATGAGCTCAAGGCCAGCCTGAATGCATAGTGAGACCCTGTCTCAAAAAAAAAAAAAAAAAAAAAAAAGTTGCCATCTAGCCTAGCACCATTTACAAGGAAAGTTCCAACACATGCCTTGTTTTTGTCCCTCTGTGAAGCCAGACCACAAGAATAGAGCCAGGTTCTATAATCTCTTAATATTCAGGAAGTCACCACACGTGACTGACCCTTCTGACTACCTCCAGATAGTCTCCTGCTGCCAAGTGCCCAGTCTCCTCTTCTGCTGTCAAACGCACACTCCTCTGAGAAGCTGCTGGAATTCACATCTTCCACAAATTGTCCTTCCAAAAATGTAGATACTCTCTTTCCAAACCAAAGGTTTAAAGCTGTTTTTTAGTGGTAGAACTATTTTGCTTAAGCAAAATAAGCAAAACTTGAACAAATAAAATAGGTATAAAAAACAGCTCTGGCCGGGCGTGGTGACTCACAGTTGTAATCCCAGCACTCAGGAGGCTGATGCAGGAGGATTGTTCTGAGTTTGAGGCCAGCCTGGGCTACAAAGTGAGTTCAAAATCAGCCTGGGCTACAAAGTGAGTTTAAGACCAGCCTGAACTGCATAGTGAGATCCTGTCTCAAAAAGACAAAAAAAAAAAAAAAACAACAAAAAAAAACAAAAAACAGCTGTGGTCAAAGCCAGAGCAGAGGCATGCATGTCAGTTATGCATTTTTGGAAGTCCCTGACAGCATACAGGATGGATTAGAGAGAAAATGCAAGCCCAGGCCTCTGAATAAATTGGTCCTCAGGCTGGTGAGACCCAGATGACCAGGTGAGACCCTGTGGGCTCTGCACTGTCTATAGGACCTTGTGCTTGTCAAGAACACAGACGTGCAGGCCGCCCGCCTGGGAAATGCTGTCCATGCCATGATCATGTATCGCCGTAAACTGGACCGTGAAGAGATCAAGCCTGTGAGTGACATCAGGATTGAGGGGAGGGGAGGAAAGGCCTGGGCCTGAGCCATGCTGGCCTTCCTTGCAGGTGATGGCACTTGGCATTGTGCCCATGTGCTGCTATCAGATGGAGAGGATGTTCAACACCACTCGCATCCCTGGCAAGGAAACAGGTATGCATCAGAACCTAGCCCCAGCTCTGGGCCCACCATGGCCAAGTGCCCTGCTACGTACTTATCACCAATCACATAGAGTGTCTCAGGGTTGTAAACCTGTGAAGAGTAGTTTGAAATAAATCCCAAACATCTGTT